TTGCTTTATATATATGGATTGCTTCCTTGCATGTACACAAACACATACACACACACACACACACACACACACACACACAATTTTCCTAGTTTTAACCATTTTCTGGCTTTCTCAGTGCTGAATTAGAAGTGTAGTATAACAAACATTTATTTGACTAGAAACATAAAATAGAACTGGAATGGTATCAATTAAACACCACATTAAGAAAAATGGAGCCATGTAAACATACATTTAAAGAATAACTATACATCTGGGGTTCATAGTCAAAGAGGAACCATACAGGTTAAATAAGAAACCTCTTAACACTTCAGCCAGATGAGATGGAATTAGATAAGGTATTAACACAGAAAGAAGAAAAATATGAAATCTATTAAATTATTTTCATGCATCCACTATTTTTAAAGGTCAGACTTCCATAACAAAAGAAAGATATGATCATAGAAAATTCTATTTAATTAAAAATGGGTTTGCCAAACAGAAACCTCTCATTCCACATTAAGCTTCTCACAGAGAGGCTGCTCCCCAAACCTTATGAATTGTAAACAAAACACTCACTGCTGTCTTGATTCACTCATGCTAGCTCCAAACTCTGAGCTGTGTGTGTCTGAGAACTTTGCTTCTTCAACCCAAACTCTGTCTATGCTGTCAGAACCTCACAAATAATCACCATGTGTGCCAGATGAGAGCATAGACCCCTTTTCATATCTCCTGCTTTATTATCCTATCAGTCAATATTAAATACAATTTGTTTACTTTTATTTCAGGTTCCCAAACATAATCTAGCATACACTACATATGCACGATATATGTGCTATCAGTACAAAGCCACTTATCTACTACTTTTCTACTGCAGTCTATTTACTCATTCACTTATTTGACCTGTAGTTATTAACTTCCTGTTAAGTGCCAAGCATTGGCACTATTTTCTTGCTGTAAGGAGCCTAGAGCCTTGCCAGTGTACTGAAAAATATCAATATATTATGGCAAATATTAGAATATAAGAAGAATAGACTATATGGGAACATCTAAGAAGAACACCTAACTAATGGGGTGTAAGTGGAGGAGCCAGTGTAGGTTTCCTAGAGGATAAGACTTAGAAGATCTTAGTATTTTAGGAAAAAAGTGAAAATAAACTTTTAAATTATCTCTTATATCCTTGAAAATATTATCAGTTACTAACTCTTTAGTCTTGCTATTCTATTCATTTTTTTCCAATGTTGTTTTTACAACTAAAAGAGCTCACCATTATCTTTTACTTTTTTAAATTAATAACTCATATTTATCAAGTTCTTACTGAAAGTTTGTTACTTATGTCATGTATTTTACTTGCTCTGTCCCAGTAATCCTCCTGACAACTTTATCAGGCAGGAAAGAAAAAAAGAAAGAAAGAAGGAAAGAAAGAAAGAAAGAAAGAAAGAAAGAAAGAAAGGAAGGAAGGAAGGAAGGAAGGAAGGAAGGAAGGAAGGAAGAAAGGGAAGCAAGGGAATACCTATTAGGAAGGAAGGAATAGAACTTTCTATGTTTGCAGAGAACATAATTTTGTATGTAAATACATGCCAATAATTTAAAAAGCAGGAGAGAAACCCTGCTAATAATTGATTGTAATAAGGTAAGGTGGCAGAATCTAAGGTTAACATACAAAAGTCAATCACTTTCTTACATATCAGAAAAAAACAATTGTAATCTGAAATGTAAAACCTGATACCATTTAAATTAGCATCCCCCAAATGAAACATTTAGTTAAAAATCTAACAAAATGAGTTCAGGATCTATATGAGAAAAAATAAATTGAATTCAATAAATGGAGAGATAGTTGATATTCACTAATAAGAAAGCTCAGTATTGTCAAGATGTCCATTCTTCCCAAGCTGATCTACATATTAAACACAATTCCAATTAAAATCCCAGCAGATTCTTTAGTGAATATTGGCAACTGATTCTAAAGTTTATAAGGAGAGGGAAAAATGCAGAATATCCAGCAGAAAACTGAAGGAGAAAACAGGACTGAACCTTCCAACTTCAAGACTTGTTATAATGCAATAGTAATCAAGATAAACTGGGTACAGTGGTTGACACCTGGAATTCCAGAACTGTGGGAGGCAGAAGCAGGAGGATCAAACCAACCTAAGCAATTTAGCAACTTAGCATGACCCTATCTCAAAATAAAAAGAACTAGGGCTGCAGCTCAATAGAAAGGCCCTGCTTCAATCCCCAGTAATGCAATAAATTAAAAAGACACCATAGCATTGGCAAAAATATAGACTAATCAATGGAACATAATAGAGAGCTCAGAAATAGACCCAAAAAAATGGAGTCAATGATAGTTCGAAAAGAGGCAAAGGCCATACAATGGATCAAAGACATTCTTTTAAAAAAATGTTGGACAACTAAATATTCATGCCCCCCCCAAAAAAATGAATGTACACCTAGATTCATTTGCACTCTTTGCAAAAACTAACTAAAAAAAAAAATCACAGATACAAATGAAAGATTCAAAACTTGAAAACTACTAAAAGGTAACCTAGAAGAAAATCTAGATGACCAGTGAGTTTTATTATAACTTTTTAGATACAATAACAAAAACACAATCTATAAAATAAATAATTTGTGAACCGGATTTTATTAAAATTTAAAACTTCTGCTCCACGAAAGACAGTTAAGTGAATCTGAGAAAAAGTAAAAGTGATAGATTGAGAGAAAATGTTTCTAAAACACGTATCTGATGAAGGACAAGTATCCACAACACAAAAAATGGGCAAAAGTTCTGAACAGACACCTCATGAAGAGATGCAGATGGGAAATAAGCATGCGAAAGATGCCAAAATCATAAAACTTTAGAGAATGGAAACAATGAAATATCATTACAGGTCTATTCACGAATAACCCAACTCCAAAATACTGACAAAACCAAAGGCTGATGAAAATGTAGAACAAGAAGAACTCTTCTTCACTGTTAGTAAGAATGCTAAGTGGTACAGACACTCACCAGTTCAGGATTAAATAGTTCATTTTTTTCCCCACAGTGTTCTGCATGTAATAGATGCTCAATAAAATATAACCTACATTTGAGTTGATTCAGGCCTAAGTTGTTTGAAATAAGTAATGAGCTTAAAGTTACATTCCCGTTTTCTTAAATCTAAGGAATGGATTCAATAGGCTCCCTATATGCTTGTTTGAAAAAAAGATCAAATTTGGACTGTTTGAATACAAAGCAAAGATTCAGTCAAAGTGAAGCCATTTAGCAGCTTTAGAGTTTCTTAACTTCCAGATCACTGTTAAAGAAATAAATGTGTTGCTTGTGTCTTAATCTTATTTTTTCCTAAATGTTTATTAATTATCATCTACCACCTGGAAATACTTTCTGGGCAAGAAACTACACGCAATTAATATCGCTAGCTGTTTAAAAAGACTTTTCTCATGGAAAAGTCAAGGCTCTCTTGGCCCTTACCCTCTCGGGGGTCTTGAGAATCCAGTGCTGTAAGGGACGTGTAGTTTATGGGTTTGACATGTGACATTTTCACTTAAAGAAAATGCATCCTAATGTACTAGGCAATGTTGCCAACATTATTTCATAAGACTCCTATCAGGAGTTAACACTGTGTTATAGCTCAAAAAAATTAAGTAGAAAACTTTTGTACCATCCATTAGAGGACTTTTAAAACATTATCCAATGTTCTTATGGTTACTATTTCAATTAATTACTTAGTTTAAAGATAATACTTAATTAAGCTGCTCTTGATAGTCTAACTTTTTATGTTCCAGCTCCTCCAATTTTACTCATCTGAGGTCTTTCATTCTTGATAATCTTTTGCAAGAGTTCCAGGTATATGATCTCCCTTCCTTAATTTTAATTACTTCTTTGACAATTGTTCTCATTCTGCTTTCCATTACTCATTAAAACGTTTTGTGTATACAGACCTCAGAAAAATTTAAATTATCTATTTCAGGGACCATTTGTTCATAATTCACAATTATAAAATAACAAAACTTTGCTTTTAAACAAGCCTTCAAAAATGTAATATTTTCAAATGGATGTTATTCTCTTCAAAGTAGTCACTTCGGGATTCAGATCTTGTTCATCTTGCTGTCATTTTTAATAACGTGGTATGAACTGTTCAGTGCATTCTTCAGTATCACGTCAGTTACACTGAATTTTCTTCATTTGAAGATGAAGTTTATTTTGCAAAAGAATCAATAGTTATGTGTCACCAAATCTAGGACCTAGTTATATGAGTAAGCAAAAAAGACCGTCATGTAGTCTCCAATAATTGTGAATATGATCCTGAAAGGGCAGCTTCCCACATTTATTACACATAGAAACTTTCAGCCTCCTATTGTTTTGACACCATGTAGATTATACTTATTTTTGTGTTATTTTAGGAATGTCTGATTGTTTGTGTTTAGTCTCATATCTCCCCCTGCACTTCTCAGTGCTATGTAAAATGAATACATATGATGGGCATTCAACCAATGTCTCGAGCAGTGAAACCTCTATCCTTTCTGTAGGGGGCAACAGGCAATCAGCAGGAAATGTAATAAAAACCACCTGGGCAATTCCTACCAACTCAGAGCCCTGGACTGAAATTAGTGATTTAGTTTTCATCAGAAATAGCAGTTGCTGTTTTTGTTTTTGTTTTTTTTTTTTTTGTCTTCCACTTTTAGAATGAAAGACACCCATTCTGATACCTAGTTTTTTAAAAAAATTCTAGACAGGTCTGGTTTTCAAATTTTAGAAAAATAAGATAGAGCTGCTGGAACCCTATGCCCAGATTCTCTTGGCTTTTCCTCCTACCGTAAACACATCCTTTGCCGTGCTTGGCCTGACGACAGAAATAGCTGTCTCCCGACAGGCCCGCAGGGAGGCGAAAACTAGCTGGCACAGGCCGTGGAGCTGAAGGGCTCCGTAAAGGGGGCTCACCATTGCGACACTGTGACGTGCAGGGCTCGCTGGGCTGGCAGGAAGAGGTGAGGAGAAGGCAAGGGGAGTTAAACTCACTGACCTTTGCTTAAGCTCTGCTTCCAGCTGTCCTCAACTTCTGGAATTTGATTAGTTGTTCCACTCGTTCCCTGCGTAGTCCCATGGGAATGGCAGAGCTCCTGAACCACAGCCCTTCAAACCGAGGATGTAACAGAGACCTGAGGAACCCAGACGTGGGAAGGAGAAAGAGGCAAGAGGAGAAAAGAGGTGGGGAAAGCTGAAAAGAAACAAATTGTAAAAGAAGAGAGATAGGGAGAATGACAACACAAAAGAGAACTGTGAAGAGAGGGTTGCAAAAAGGAATCAAAGCAGAAATAGAAGAGAAATTTAAAGGGAAAAGAAACCATAATGCTAAGTGAAATAAGTCAGACACCGAAGGTTAGATATCATATGGCTTCTTTTATACGCGAAACTCAAGGTTGAAATAATGTAAAGAAAGAAAAGGTATACAACAGGAAACAGGGAGACGGCAACAGGGAAGTGGGGAGAGACACACCACACAGGAAGGGGAAAGGAAAGGGAAGTAAAAGGATCAGGATGGGATTCGTGCATATACTGATTCCCACAATGCACGTATTTGTGATGTACTGCAAACATATACTAATACACAGGGCAAAAATAATATAAGAAGGACCCTCCTGTGTGACGTATTGACAATTGACAGGGGAAATTGGGGTGCTAGTACCCCAATGTCTGTTACTTACATAATACCAGGGAAAAGCCTGTAGAAATTTTGCCTTCTTTTTCCTTAGTTATAAAATAGACATAACGTGTTATTATAATATTGAAAGCCTTACCCTTTGAACAAAAATGTTGTTAAATCTCATTAGTAGAATGACTTGGCTAGAAATGTTGCCCAAGGAAAATTAATGTCAACATCTACAGTTATTTTCATTATTCTCAGGTTTTCTGGTATGTTCGAATTTTGCACTACCATTTTATATTATTCTTTTCAAATTCTCATATTCTTCGTATATTCTCACAACTTTATGTCTGACTTCCCCACCTTCCCCCTTCAGTTAGTCCTGCTCGCCACTGACAGATGAAATTTGTACAAGAGTCCCTCAGCATGGTACCCTGTGTTCAAAACCCTTCTGTGTGGTTCCATTGCTTGTTGGAAACTCCAGCGTCCCATCGTGCCATTTAAGACCCTTCCAGACTTAATCCCGACATACTTTATAGTTGCACACCCCGCCTCACTTCTCTCTTAAACTCTTCTATTTCCACCCAAGTGGTAGAGAGACATACAACTTTTGCCACTTACTCCCCAAAAAGTGCTATTTGCTCTCCAATAAACAGAATACAGCTTTGAAAGAGGGAGAGAACGAAAAGGCCCTATAGACATAACCCAAAAATGTAGAGAGAGGCATACCACCCCGACAGGGACCGCCACCAGAGCTTGAACAACATAAACATTCAGAGACGGGGACTCTACAGAAAGAAAAGCTCTCATTCAATCATTCATTCAACAAATATCTATGAAGCACCAACCACATGTTAGATACATAAGACTAAAAAGATAAAAACAGAATCCTTTTTGGCAAGAAGTATACTAATCTGTGTTTGGGGAAAGTTAAATTGCTACAGGAAGGCTGTAAAATGGTACCAAAGGGAAGTACAGTGTACCTTCTGTTTGTGAACAATTCAGTTTGCAAACCGAAGTGTTTGGCAAAATTTTGCTTCAGTTCACGAACATCACACTGGGTGAGGAACAGGACTGCAGCCGTCTTCCCCAGAATCATGGAACAAAGGAAATTCATGAACCGAGGTACCACTGTACTAGATAAGAAACCTGAACAGCAGCATAGGGGCTAAAACCTGAGGGTCCTTAAATACCACGCAAACAACTTTGATTTTCTTTTCTGTAAGCATTAAGGAACAATTAAAAATTTTGAGTGGAAGAGTAATAAGAGCATATTTTTAGAGAAGAAATTGAATTTCTGTAGAAGTGAAGATAATGAAGATGAGGACAAGGAGCGGAATGAGGAAGTTAAAATAATAACAATATAGAGAGGAGAGAAATCTGAATCAAATCGAGCAGACAGATGAGAATGAAAAGAAGGGAAGGGATTCAGCAGTGCAGTAGTATGTATATATGTGTAAAGGAGACTAGGGAAAGAGAAACAAAAAACTTCTGTTGTTAGGGCTTGAACTGCTGATGCTGGGAGGCCATTCACCAAAGTATAAAATTTTAATGAAAGAATAAGTTTCAGGGAAGAAGATAATGAATAAGTTTAATTTTCAATACACTGTCTTTATATCTTTTGTGATAACTGAGAAGAAAGGACTTATAATGCAGTCTATGATGAAGGGAATCTAGAACCCCCTGCATGATATGGAAAAAGGTAGAAATTAAAGAGAATTGTCAAATGAAATACAAAGAATTAAAAGTAGGATAGAAATGGGTTTAGATGTTTGGGATAGAATTTTTAAGATGCAAATTAAAAAAATACTGAGAGTCCATCTCACTCCAGAAAGAATGGTTGTTATCAAGAAATCAACCAATAACAAACGCTGATGGGGCTGTGGGAAAAAAAGAACACTTCTCCATCATTGGTGGGAGTGTAGACTGGTGCAACCACTGTGGAAATCAGTGTGGAAATTCTTCAAAAACCTAGGACTAGGGGTCTCATTTGACTCAGCTATTCCCTTTCTGGATATATTTCCAAATGAATTAAAAGCATCATGCCACAGCGATGTATGCACACCCGTGTTTATAGTGGCCCAGTTTGTAATAGCTAAATGTTAGAAACAACTCAAATGCCCATCAACCAATGAATGGATAAAAAAGATGTGGGTTTTTTTTTAATATAATGAAGTACTATTTGGCCCTAAAGAAGGATAAACTTGAGCCATTTCTAGGTAAATTGATGCACCTTGAAACCATACTCTTAAGTGAAAGAAATGAGAGACACGTGTGTAAATATCGCCCTGTCTCTGGTGTGAGAAACTGAAAGCAGAAGTAAAGACCAAAATGTATAATAGATATTGAGAAATAGGAAGAAATTGTTCAAAATTATACTGTATGAGATATTTTGTTAATAATTAAAATGTTTTCTAAAAAAGGGATAGCATTATTAGGAAATGAGTTGAGAGATAGATTAGCAAATAAAAATGTTCTTTTGAGATCATGATACACAATGTATTTACCATTTTTTATGAAAAATAATTTTTTCATAGAATAGCTTTTATATTTTCTTTATTAATATCTACTTGAATTATATTAAAATAAAAATTAAATAAAGTGGTGCAAAACAAAACTGAAATTCATTAGAATATATTAATTAGGTATAGTGGAAAGAGTAGGAGTTAATATAGGATATTAGGTGAAGGATACTCAAGGATAAGGAACATTTCCACCAAATGTTGTCACCAAACTCCCCTAACACCAAGAATAAACCTAACACCAAACTCCCCTAACTTTATGCCACCAGGGATACACTTTCATCATTGCTACCAGTGCCTAAAACACAACCTCGCAAATACTGGGAAATTATTGCCACTGCTGTTCTTCCCACCTTGTCATGGCTTATATCTAAATGTCCCCCCTCCCCCACAAAGTCTCATGTGCTCATAGGTGGGGCTTTTGGGAGTGACTGGATCATGGGTGTGTGATACTGGATCAAGAAGCGGTGATACTAGATTAGTCCTATGATTGGTTTAGCATGATTGTGGGTGATGAACTTACTGAAGAGAGAAGATTCACCTTGGATATGGATGACACTTACAGCTTGGATGAAATAAAGAGCAAAAGTAAGAGGAAGTCTCTTTTCTTCCTGCTTGCCATACCATGGACTGTTTCTCCACTAGCAGTCCTCTCTGCCATGCCACCCTGCTTTGGAGCTAACTGGTTATGAACTAAAACCTCTACAAACTGTGAGCTGAAATAAACCTTTTCCCCTTTAACTTGTGTTGGTTATTTTGTCTCAGCAATGAGAAAGTAATTAAGACACACCTGCACCCCAATGGAGGCACCACTGGGAGCATCTAACTAAAAGGCATAAGTCAAACTTACCCTAAGCGAAAAGGAAACTTGGAGTTTGTGTCCTGAATTATCCTTTGAGAAAGCACAGTAAGCACCAAAGTAAGCCATAAAATAAACAGATGAGAGAGGATAAAGGTGTCTAGAGCTCTGACCTATTAAGACTACAAAGAAATTCTTTTAACTTGATGGAGAGGAATTGTCAAATACGGTAACAAATAAACATGATAAAACCTATCATTAACTTAGCAACAATTATATGCCAAGCACTGTATACATACTACTTCTAAACTTCTTAATAACTCTATATGGAAGGTATTACTATGTCCACATTACACATGAAAAACCCGGAGTCAGAGAGGTGAGATTACTTGTATCACACAGCTACCAAGTGGCTATGCCAACGTTTGAGTGTGAATTGGTCTAACTCTTCACTTTTCATGTTCTTCTTCCAGAATGGCACTGACACTGTTTGGGAAACATTTCTACATGAAAGGTGTAGCAAAATTTATCTGTACTTAAACTATACATTTTAAGTTTTCCTTGAATAATTACCTTGATTCTAAAAATCTCAGTCAGTGATATCTGCCCTAGCTATTATAGAAGTTCTCAAGCCTGGGTAGGTACTATCAATTAAGAAATCTGGAAGTGCTCACAGAGTATAGAATGTTCCACAAATGACTTTAGACTTGGAGGATCAGGAGGTTCCATCTGGCCTCAGAAACACAAGGAATTTTCACTTTCCTGAGTATGAGAAGATTTGATTGTGCATTTACCCTCCCATTATGTTCTTCTACATAGAAGTCTTCTCTGGATTAAGGAAGGTCCTGCTGATGGCACACATAAAACAGTCCTGCTGTTTAAAAAATTTCCAGCAAATTTATCACCAAGACATATTTCTACCTTGTGAACTCCCATTCCTTTTTTCTGCCAAAGAGTTAAAATATATGCCTCTATGCTCTGGCTGAAATGCTATTTGGAAGGTTATAAAAGTTCCTCATAGTAAATCCATATGTAGGAAAATAAGAACGTGGCAAGATAAGGTCTTTTCTAGAGCTATATTTAAGTTTCTTTTTCTAATCATCCTTGAAGATTTCATAATGCCAACCACAATTCTATCAGATAATTGGAGCTTTTAAAGAAAAAAAACTCAAATGTGATAAAGAAAAACCCAAATTAAACTATGGAAAGAGAGAGAGAGAGAAATTATCTTATGTTTGTACATTTATGCATATATTTAAAGGTGTATAGTGATCTTATTTTTCATATGGTATAGACTTAG